TTTGCTATTGCTGATCTCGAGCACCGCTTGCCACGATAGTTCTATTGTTTGCGAAATTTTTTTTGCTCTTTAATAGAGTATTTTTTCCTGTCATCGCAGCATATTACAGCGAAAATAAACATCCTTAAAAATCATTTAAGAGAAAATGAATACCTACAGATACAACTGGCAATGTCATTGTCTTCTTGCTTTCAAACAGGAAAGGAAACTTGAAATATTTTAGTGTCCGACTATACTTATGATGACGACAAACAAAGGCATGATCCCGTTAGAGGATTTGTCAATTTTACATTAATCGAAGATGGATAGAATCATCTTAAACGGATTCTATAGAGAAAAGAATTCGAATTGAAATAATACTTGTTCAAAAGAACATATCTAAGATAAACTATTTATTATCGATTTGATCGTTTTTTAACCCTTTCAATCCTGACATTTTCTATCATTCTATGCAAGGTTGAAGAAAATCTAGATTTCTCTCTCTCTTGCGTTCTTATTTAGATAACCAGCTGTACACGAAGTTCAGCTGCGCTAGTTCAGTACGAAAAAAAAATTTCACAGCGAAGAATATATGCGTTTCTTTGAACACACATATGATATGTATTATGTAGGAAGACGACAGAACGCAAAATTTCTATATTACGATATGCATGTCATCTACGAGAGGACATGCCGTATTGAAAGGGTTAAAATTGTTCAATTTTGTGCATGTTACATCCGTGACATTTATCAAAAAAACTAAATATCTCTTTTGACTCTCAATTTTATCAGCTGTAAAATATTTATCTAATTAATTCATATTCTTCAATCAATTATTAAAATCATCATAATTTCGATGACATAAGTTTGTATTGTTATTTACAGAAGATGATCAGTTCTTGTTTCTCACTTGATGATGATTTCATTCGAATGAGACAATCAATCAATAATTAAGAATGAATCAATTGACCATTTATTTCAGTTGGGTGTGGGTGTGGATGTGGATGTGGGTGGTGAGTGTGTGAGTATGGGTCAGCGACTTGTTTTTACTCACATCCACGCCTACACCCACACCCACACCATCCACACCCTCACACCCTCACACCCTCACCCCACACCCACACCCACACCCATTTTTTTTCTTATCACGTGATTCATCGATTAACTTAGTATATCTGTTTTTTTTGGTGGTTTAATTGAAAATCTTCCACGGCCTTATAGGCATGCTAGACAGCATGCGTAATGTAGGTTTATCCCATCCTGTCGACCATTCGACATCTCAACAACATATCACCAACAATAGAACTGTTCAAAATCAAGGTTCAGTTAGTTCATCAACTACACATTCGAATTCTTGTACCAACCAACCACTGTTATTATCACATTGTTTTCCTGTTCCTAGTACTGATAGTGTCATAACAAATCAGTCTAGTTCATCGAATGTCAACAACACCACCATTCATTGTCCAATGCTCAACCATCCATGTTATACCACCAATTGCCATCATCAATCTCCATTGAATTTTCGTCCATATCATCAACGTGCAGCGACATCTAATGATCCTCACAATTCAACAAGTAATATGAATCAGCTTCAAGTGAATCATCAACAACACCTAGATAATCAAAATGTTACACCAATGGAAAGTGAAAATGATAATTGTTTTACATTAGTCAAACGGAAAAAGAAAACGAAAAAAATTGATGTTCAACAAAATCAAAAATCTTCATCTTCATTCTGTTCTTCATCACCAACAAGTTCAACAAATGGGTCCACTTCCTCAACAAACACCAACAGTATTATTAGTCATGTTCAACCGAGAAGTGCTGTTGCTGTTCATTTACAACCAAATTTACTCGAAGTTAATGCACCTGTTGCAATTATTAATCCATTTAGTATTGAAATATCACAACAGGCGCAACATTACGCGGAAACGCGTTATGCCTTTCCGTCATTCATCATCAAATTCCAACAAGATAATAATGAAAGTTCAGTATTAAAGTATTTAACAACCCATTATTCTTACAATTATAATTCGAATTTGAATTTCGCTGGTCATCGACTAAAACTTAAACGTGATTTATTATTATTTGTTAATGATCGTGAATCGTTCTCAATGCTCTATGATACTTCAAAATGGCCGTCGACCATCGAATCACTGAATTTTGAAAAAATTCTACCTAATCATCTACCACCTCAATTTTCATTAGTTCTTAAAAATGTTCCATTTGATATTGAAATTGATACATTACTAACAAACATTAAATCTACTTAGGGTTAGCCAAAAGTAATGTCGGAGATACCTTATTCTCT